AACGAATCTGTGTCATTTTATTGAATACTCTCAGTCCAATCAAATACGAAGGTTATTATTATATGATTGTTCTCATGCGATTGGATACCTCAATCAGTGTACATTGCTCGTTTCTCATCTTTCTTGATTGTAGAATCCAAGCAAAAGCCGGAGGGAGAAGGTGAGCTGTGATTGATCATGTTGCAGTTTGGTCTTGTTCATTCATTCTTCATGATTCACTTCACGGATCGTGTGGTACAAGAAAGATTACGCTGCTGTGTTCTCGTCCCAATTCGATTTGTCTGTTTGCCACAACAAGCAATTTGCATTTGGCAATTCCACTGTGCAGTAGACGAACGGTTTCCCATTTCATTTCTCTTTATCGACACTTATTTGCTAACGCAGATAAACACCATGCGGTTGGATATTCGAATTGAAAATGACACACGAATTTTGGGCACTGAAAATTAGTCTCTCAAATGTTCCCATCAGATAGATCTAAGTACTCGAATGATTTGATGATCATCAACAACAAAACGAAAAACACAAATCAAACGTATGTTATCTAGCGAACTATTCCAACTGAACTGTGCAATTCAGTTATCTGGCCAATAGTACATTCATTTATATGTTACCCATCAAATGATTCAATATACAATATGAATGCTCAACTGACCAACGAACAGTATATGAGCACTGTTTACACGTGTTTCATCTCACTCACTTGTTCACAATTAGAACAAGTGCATATTGACCGACTTCTAACTTGCATCCGAACACGAATTGAATGATTGTCAGTCTGATGGGCCTGTTCCACGTGAACGAATCATGAATGAACAAGAACTCATAATGATCCATGTGATTGATTATCCAGTCCCAATTGAGAATGGATAAATATGGACTGCTGATTGCTCACAACGGTCCACATAAAACCAATTTGTACTCATTTCACCTGAACATATTTCGAAACGAGCTACAGAAAATGAGAAAGCGCAAAAGCCACACCTGTTTCACAATGGAACAAACAAACGAACAAAGCATACTGAATTGTTCACTTTCCCCATCTAGTCGCATTTGGGCACAATTGTTTTCACAATTCGAATGTGGCAGTCGACAGGCGAGAAACGAATCTGTGTCATTTTATTAAATACTCTCAGTCCAATCAAATACGAAGGTTATTATTATATGATTGTTCTCATGCGATTGGATACCTCAATCAGTGCACATTGCTCGTTTCTCATCTTTCTTGATTGTAGAATCCAAGCAAAAGCCGGAGGGAGAAGGTGAGCTGTGATTGATCATGTTGCAGTTTGGTCTTGTTCATTCATTCTTCATGATTCACTTCACGGATCGTGTGGTACAAGAAAGATTACGCTGCTGTGTTCTCGTCCCAATTCGATTTGTCTGTTTGCCACAACAAGCAATTTGCATTTGGCAATTCCACTGTGCAGTAGACGAACGGTTTCCCATTTCATTTCTCTTTATCGACACTTATTTGCTAACGCAGATAAACACCATGCGGTTGGATATTCGAATTGAAAATGACACACGAATTTTGGGCACTGAAAATTAGTCTCTCAAATGTTCCCATCAGATAGATCTAAGTACTCGAATGATTTGATGATCATCAACAACAAAACAAAAAACACAAATCAAACGTATGTTATCTAGCGAACTATTCCAACTGAACTGTGCAATTCAGTTATCTGGCCAATAGTATATTCATTTATATGTTACCCATCAAATGATTCAATATACAATATGAATGCTCAACTGACCAACGAACAGTATATGAGCACTGTTTACACGTGTTTCATCTCACTCACCTGTTCACAATTAGAACAAGTGCATATTGACCGACTTCTAACTTGCATCCGAACACGAATTGAACGATTGTCAGTCTGATAGACCTAATCCACGTGAACGAATCATGAATGAACAAGAACTCATAATGATCCATGTGATTGATTATCCAGTCCCAATTGAGAATGGATAAATATGGTCTGCTGATTGCTCACAACGGTCCACATAAAACCAATTTGTACTCATTTCACCTGAACATATTTCGAAACGAGCTACAGAAAATGAGAAAGCGCAAAAGCCACACCTGTTTCACAATGGAACAAACAAACGAACAAAGCATACTGAATTGTTCACTTTCCCCATCTAGTCGCATTTGGGCACAATTGTTTTCACAATTCGAATGTGGCAGTCGACAGGCGAGAAACGAATCTGTGTCATTTTATTAAATACTCTCAGTCCAATCAAATACGAAGGTTATTATTATATGATTGTTCTCATGCGATTGGATACCTCAATCAGTGTACATTGCTCGTTTCTCATCTTTCTTGATTGTAGAATCCAAGCAAAAGCCGGAGGGAGAAGGTGAGCTGTGATTGATCATGTTGCAGTTTGGTCTTGTTCATTCATTCTTCATGATTCACTTCACGGATCGTGTGGTACAAGAAAGACTACGCTGCTGTGTTCTCGTCCCAATTCGATTTGTCTGTTTGCCACAACAAGCAATTTGCATTTGGCAATTCCACTGTGCAGTAGACGAACGGTTTCCCATTTCATTTCTCTTTATCGACACTTATTTGCTAACGCAGATAAACACCATGCGGTTGGATATTCGAATTGAAAATGACACACGAATTTTGGGCACTGAAAATTAGTCTCTCAAATGTTCCCATCAGATAGATCTAAGTACTCGAATGATTTGATGATCATTTTTAGTTGCATACTTCCGATTCTAAACTTTATTCTAATTTCTCCGATGTCTAGCCGTAATTGGATTTCGTTTGGTCCCTTCTCGTCTTTTCTTCAGGGCTATCTCTGCCCGTCTTAACTGCATAGTATCTGGCAAGCGTCCTCTAGTGCCCTTTACAGTAGTAGGGCAATTCAAACAAGATTCGTAGCCCATTTCTGTCAAGGGTATTTCGCTGCTTGCCACTTGTCGTACGAGTTTCCTAAGGCTGGTAATTTCGGTTGGCTTAATTTTGGTTCCGTTGCCCATTTCGTCTAAGAGGCGTTCAGCGACATCATCATGGCACCCAAACTGTGATTCCAAGATATCAATAGCTCTCACATATCCTTCATGAGGGGGTAACATCATGAAATCTTCTATGGCCTCTTGTGCCTCTCCAACACAGCAATGGATCAAAAAGCGTAGCCTCCCTCTATCGTTCAGCAAGACGCTGGCCACATCTGCCTTGAAGCTGCTAAGAAATTTCCACAATCGCTTTGGTGTTCCGTCGAATTCGATTAATTCTATATCCGGTAAACTGATCCGACGATTAGTACTTGTTCTCGACTCGGCGTCTTCAGTAACTCTGCGACTGGCTGAGGCTCGACAACCTTCAACGTTCTTCTTAACAGAGTCTAACGAAACAAAACCTGGAGGTTTATCTGAATTCGATTCGTCGTCACTTGGTTGAACGCTACCAGCTACGTTCTCTAGCTCTAATGATAATTGTTGCTGCCTAATCTTCAAACGTTCCATATTTAACTGCAGCTGTTCAGCTTTCAATTCCTGGATTCTAGTTCTGCTACTGGCCGACGACCGAGTTTCTAATCCCCTACGAACTAACGTATCTGATCTGATAGCCATATCAAGCAATGGGGCACGGGAAGAATACTGCTTACCCAGATTGTCCTCTATGTTTGATTGATTCGGTAGGTGGGTGTTTCTGTATTCCTCCTGTTCACCGGATGAGTGCAAGTGTCCGTTCGCGGCCAGTTGGTGCTTCATATTCTTCGTCACGGCATCGATTTTTCTTCAAAGTTCCCGGTTGAAGAACAGTTTGAGTACTGTTAGATACGTACGTCCGATTCTGAACTTTAGTCTAATTTATCTGGTGTCTAGGCCGAGTTGGAGTGACGCGCTCTCCTCAGAAACCAAATCAAACTAGCTGAGGTTTATTAGTGGTACTACAAACAATATTCAATCAAAGGGGTAAATGTACAAACCTCAAACGTGGCGTCCTCACGGGAATCACCGTTTACTAACGTTCCGTACAGTTCAGAATGGATAACACGTACTATGGCCAATTGGCCGAGGCACAAGTCACCAGGTAGGTTAACGAAACGACCACAACTAACAATGACAAGGAAAGGAACGCGCATATAAGGGACATGAACGAACGGAAAAGCGACCAGGCGGAAATCGATCGATGGCTCTGACCAACCAGGGAGTAGGGCAGGGATTCGCTCAGGCGCTCAAACACACGAATAGTCACGGGTCAAACAGGTCACAATCTTGTGTGGGTGCGTAGTGTATACATCGGTACATGTGCGTGATTAAACATGCCTGCCGGGTGCGGACGATCAGAATTCGGTGCCCAATCGAGCAGCCTAGTCCAGGTCTAGTCAATCGACCGAGTGATGTGTGTGTGTGCGTGTGTGACGGACGGGCAACGCCTGAGAGCGATGAGGAATCATGTGGACTGATAGCCGTGTAATCATGTGGTTTAAGTTAAACGAATTAGGAATGTCAAACCGGTCCAAACGTGGCATAAGTTGGTGTTCATGAATGAGCAGGATTGAAATGGGCAAACAGATTCAACAATCATCAACAAGAAAACGAAAAACAAAAATCAAACGTATGTTATCTAGCAAACTATTCGAACTGAACTGTGCAATTCAGTTATCTGCCCAATAGTACATTCATTTATTTTTTGTCCCACAAATGTTACCTATACTTTATTCTCTCGGTGCTGGACCGGCTCGTCTTTTCGTATGATCTATTTTACCCCTCTGTTTTAGGGATTCTTTTTTTCCTTCCTCCTTCTTTGGAATATTCCTCTCAGTTTACCTTGTTTTTTACCGGGGGCCTTTTTCTTATCTATGTGGTTCATACTATGTTTTTCGTCACTTTTTTTCTCTGGATGTTTTCCTTCACTCGTTGAACAATTTCTTTGCTTTTCACGTATGAATTTCCTTGGGATTATTTTAACTTTTCGACCAACTAGATATTCTTATCTGCCCTCTTTTCTACTTTCTTTCACCTGTTTGATCTGCAGAAAGCAATACTACAGGTAAGCTTGATTATTTGACCGGAGCTCTTTGTGCTTAATGTTTTTTACTTCGCGAATTGTTTTTGGGAAAGTGCTAGCGTTCCATCTTTTTCTTGTTAGAATATGTAATTTTCTGTCTTTGAAAGGCTTCTTCACGTTCGAACATGACTCTGAATCGGAATAGGATTATTGCACGTAACTGTGTCTAATTCATATTCAACTTCCATTTTACAGCTTCTTCAAATGGCACATCGAGGCCCCCCAGTCACATGGCTTTCCTCACATTCCCGCTAAAGTGTCTTGGATTGATCCAGTAGTGGATACGTTTAGTTGCCGCGGATATATTGCTCAGCTTTAACAATGTTTGCTGTTTGTTATTTATTAACTAACAAATAAAGTGTTGTCTCTGGCGCAAACGGAGACTTTTTAATTTTGGTGCATCTGTTTTCGCTTATGCTGAAAGAAAACCGAGGTAAATGGCTTGTGTTTAGGTTCATCCAACTCAGCGCAGAGCTTCATGGGCTAAACTACTAACTTCCATCTCTTGAACTGATAAAATCCACAAACGTTTTCATTACCCGGAAGCCTCCCGGTTTAATTCATGAGAACAACTGGTTAGTGGGGATTGAAGAGATGCGTTGTGTATCTTACGTTTTACAAAACCGTGGAGGGTGTCGAAGCTCCTCACCAAAGCCGTAAAAGTGCAAGCAGTTGTAAAGTTCAAACACGTACGACGATAGGCTTTCACTGCCGTATCACTTGAAACTAACTCTCAACGCGTCGTTTTTAAATGAACACTATCAAAATCACTCATTCAAAATAATATCTAAAGTAACAATTAGTCTCATTTAGCGTAGTTACGGATGTTAAGCCGTAACAAATGATTTTTCCGGAAGATATCAAATAATTTGTTCGAAAAACGTCGAGTGAACAGTAGCAAAACACCTTTCATCTGCATACTGCCCCTTGATTTGAATAACCAAAATTTCAACACGAGTTCATCGTATCAGTTGCATAACTGATATCTATCCAGGGTCGTCCCTAGTTTATCTTACACAACGAAATACTCGGATAGTATAGCAACAATCGTTTTCCTTGAAAATGTGGGTGATTTGATTTTTCTTCTAAACCATTTCATGCGGAAACGGCGAGTAAAGCACAACTGCATGCGCACTCAGTGGATCAATGATCCATATCACACATTGTCATGCACCTGCTACTGGACACACGAATAGTGTTAATGCCTGTTATTATCCGTCCAGGACTGCATTGCACAATCAGAACGTGCCACGTGTTGAGAGCTCCTGGTTGGTCTGATACAATCAGATGCTCTAAATGCACCTGTATACATGTGCAGCTGCGACTCACGCACCCATCCACTCGTCAGCGTATTCCTTGACATGTTCAGGCTCACAATCGCCGTATACTGTGTCTGAGTGCGCAAAAGAATAAATATCCCTCATATGATTGTTAGGAATTTCTTTTTCAACAAAGAAAACATAGTTGTCTATCGATTAGCACAGACCATTTGATCCCAAGTGCGTTTGGGCGTGCTCAAACCTCCAATCATATTAGTGAGATAGTTGAATGAATTACGTATTCACTGTGACGAATAGCTGCTCTAAACTGAAGTCCCAAATGGCAAAAATACACGAAAACAGATGTGTGAGTTCTATTGACAGTTCTGTTGATATTTTCGAAGTTTTAGGTTCTGGCAAGATAAACAAAATTTATCAATTTGAGAAGAGAACAGAAGTATGATGATAGAGACACAGTTAACTCCGCATTCAAGTGGCAATGTTTTCTGATTTATTTAAAAAAACGAGATCTCAAATTGCCAGTAGAAATTATGTTGAGAGTTTGATCAGTATGAAAATCCGTGAAACGGAACTCGGACACGACAAAAACTGATAGTAAAAAGCAAATGAGATTGCAGAACACATAAAGTCATAACAACTGCACTGATCTCCAGAATCCTCCCGTCCAACCGGATGTAGTGGTTAGATCATTCCGATATACCATTGTTCACTTGAAATGCAATTCTTGTCATTCAACCAACAGATCAAGTTGTTCCTCGACAATTCTGATAAGTATGGTTCATCTGGCATGACAAAATATTGGTCAATGGACAGAAGTAATTAGCATTATACTGCTCAAACGTGCCCACTTTGAAACACAGGTAGTTTTTTCCAGGTTCTACGCGCTAATCGGCACTCAGGGTTCATGATAGATGAAGTGGGGAAACTTTTAATTTGCCTCTTCTGCAACTAGTCATATGAAAAACATGATCACTGGCCGCTACCAAACGTTTTATCACGCACGGAAAAATAATTAGGGCATTTGTTCCTTTCCATGGGGAAAACTGTTTGGCTTAAAATAACAGGAACGGTTGGAAAAAATGAAACGTAAAAATATCATTGCCTAAATATCAGGAAAATACCCATATCATGCAAATTTCATGTTCGACGAAGTGTTTGTTTCACAGCATTTCATTACCAATCGTTTCACAGATTATATAATTGGTATGGACGTTTGTGAACTTTGTTTTGTGCTCCATGAACGGCTTGATAAATTGTTACTGAAAAAGCAATTGTTTCGCCACATTGCAACTTAAACAGAAAGCGAATAAGATTGAATTCAAAAGTTTGAAGAGAAAACAACAAAGTGAATATGAATGTTTTTTTTGAGATCGTAGCAATGCTTCTCCTTTGGTGCCCACTGCAAATAAAAACTGGTACATGGGTACTTCGGTCGGCGTGCAAAGAATATAGTAATTATCTTCTCAATGGGTTGACCTATTTGAAAGGTCGACGGCTTGCCGTAGCTTTTGTGAAATTCATCATATCGGAGCTTGCAGGGCTGTAGAGGATTCTCGACTGATTGTTTTGAAGGAATCGATATGATTTACCATTGAGTTTTGGCATCTCTTTTTGGATACGTTCCCTTTCAATGTTTTATTTATGTGCATACTCGTCTTGATAACCAATATATCCAACAAGACCACTCTTGTAACGAATGGGTACCATACGTTGAGAGTTCAGGAATTACTTTACCTAGGTGGACTATCGATGAATTTTCCCGATGGTTAGTGTCTTGGTCAGGAAATCACAATCGATTATTGGCTTCATCTTCCATGATAAAAGAAATTTGTGTAAAGAGTTCTGTGGCTAATTTCACGATTTATTGATGCATGAAGCATCATGAGTTCGAACTAACAATAACGTTTCTAAATAAGCGGTAGTGTTGCTATTTTATTGTGATCGTTTATCCTTGTATCGATAAAAAGTCATATAAATGTTTTTCGCTACAGGAACATTTGTAAGATTGCTAACATGTCAACGAAATTCACATCACAGATGTTGACGACAAGTTGATTAGCCATGTCGAAATACTTGAAACCATCTCGCAAACATGGGAACTGATGCGGAGCTGCATAGATTACCATTCGTAAGCAATCAATAAATACCACACGCATGAGTTGTGACAGAATGATGCAAAAAATGTTTCGCATTTTGCGGTCTACTTCTGGCCGAAAATTGTTGCCGGGAAAAGGTAATCTGAAATTTATAAAATTGTTGAGGGGCGTTAGTTTGGCATAGGTAAAATTTTTGAAATCGCCGTTCCGTGTCATTTGCTAGAGACTTACTATACAATTGCCACTGGTAATCCTCTGTGCCAAGTCAATCTATGTGCCACTGCTCTATATTTTGTGTTTACAAATATCAACAGTGCACATCATGTAGTTGTTTGAAACGGAATGGCTTTATATCGCTTAAGATTACTTCTCTGAGTCTTCCAAATAATAAGCCGAGAATTGCGTATATCATGGGAACAGAAAGAAGACATAAGTCGCGAGATGCAAGCTTTCCGTTTACTCGAGTCTACCGCGTACGTAGAACATTTTAGCCTGTACATCATACAGTGAGAAAAAACAAAATAGCCGAAAGGGCTGCACTGAAAACTATGTCAGTGCCTTCGGTAGGATGAGGGATAAGTCTGTTCGGTTAGTGCCAAGACAAACAAACATTTTGTTTCATCACTTTATATGCACAAAGCGCTGGATGATGCTCATGCTAAGCATCGCCTCACTGAATATCAGAAGTTCGTTTTGGGATTGCTCAACAACACTGTGAAGGATGTCGTCAGGTCAACCATGTGACCTGACGCAATTAGGTGATTCGCAATTGAAAAAGCTAGAGGTCTGACATCATCTGCGGCCGCATTGCGTTGCGTCATTGATTTTGACAACCATTTGGGTAGTGCTACGACATTCCTTGTGCCAAGCAGCGATTTATCTAGCCACTGTATGAGTCACCGCAGCGGTAAGTGAACGGATAGACAACATGTGAGACTTTGGGATCGGGAAGACTCTCTGATCGATTTATGAAGCTTGACCTTTTGATGGTCTGCAACAGACGAAATTGCACCGCTGTGTATGAAAGGCTTATAGTTGAATTGAGATTTATATTTATTTGATTTAAAACGTGGTCACCTTTCAAAGGTTAAATAATAAAAACTTGCTTTTTATCGATCGTGATTGGCTTTTCGCTTGCTGTTCTCCGCTTTCGGCGATGCTCGATGAAATTCTCGGGAGAACCATTGGCGACCAACGTTCTGTTTATGAACTCCTCTACATTTTGCACTTGATCACTGGCGCAAATTTTCTGCAACCTTTTGAAGAGAGTTCAGACTAATCCACATTTGTAGACCTTTCGTCCAAAGCCGGAGAATAGTAAATAGCGACCACCCCACGTAGCTTTGCGATAAATACTCTTTTGCAATGTTCCATCCTGAAGTTTGGTTACTAGAATGTCCAAAAATGAATAGCTATCGGCACTTTCTTCTTCATGAGTAACAGAAAAATACGGATGAATAGAGGTTATGGGGTTATCAAAGGGGAAAAATGTTTCCCATTCGAAAACAATAAAATGTCGTCTACGTATCGTTTTAAGGGGAGAATTGAAAATACTAGCACTGAGTTTTCTTTCCATCATCCCCAGAAAAACATCTGCCAAGGTTGGACCCAGAGGACTACCCATGGCCACACCATCAATCTGCCTGTAGGGGTGTCCTTCAGAATTAAAACGGACATTCTCTGTGCAGATCTTTACAATGTTCATAGGGATTCTCTAATTGGACATGTGTTTGTAACTGATCCACTTTCTAAGGTGGCACTTTAAATTTTAGTCCCAATGAGAGTAATTCACGTTGCGCTGTGGTCAGCTTGGAACCAGAAAGATTGTGAATGTATGCACTTGTGTCTTTGGGGATAGTGACCTTTCTTGCATTTTGCACATGCTGTCCTCAAGGCTTTTCATTTTTTCGACTTGGTTTTTCGCAACATTTCTCTCGAAAATT